TAAGATTTAGAGGCATAAGATTTACTTGACACCAGTAAGCCATGCTGTTTAAGTCTGATTGTAGCAAAGACCTTTCAGTAATTGAAACGTACGATTTATAAAGCTTTACATCATCTGCATACATTAAAACTTTGGAAAATTGTATATCTGTAGAAATATCATTTATAAAAAGCAAGAACAGAATCGGGCCTAGGTGGCTACCTTGAGGGATTCCTGAAGTAACATCAATGACGTCAGAGATAGTATTTTTAAACATTACCCTTGGTGATCTATCATAGAGGTATGAAGAGATCCAACGTAGAAAATTAGGTGGAAGACCAAGAGATCAAGTTTATAGATGAGCAACGAGTGGCACACTTTGTTTTGCTTTCACTAAATGCTTTTGAGATATAGGATGTTAATTCAAGTAAATTTGTAGAAGTTGATTTGCCCTTGCAAAATCCATGTTGACTATATGAAATGCTAGAAGAGATAGAATGCGTCTACTGATTTGTTATAATTGCTTCAAATAATTTAGGAATTGCAGAAAGCTTAGCTATTCCCCGGTAGTTCTCCACTGAAGATCTGCTACCGCTTTTATGTAACGGGGTTATGAAGGATTCCTTCCATATAGTTGGAAAAACGCCCTCTTTAAGAGACAAATGAAATAACGCTGTTAATGGCTCATAGAGAGCACAATTTATAAGAATACAAGAAGGGATTTGGTCAGGACCACAATTGATAAACTACTACATCATCGGGAGATATTACTGGGATATTTATTGAGTTCATTGGACATAATTTAAAAGGATAGTCAATGTTAGTATGTGAGTTAGTGGAATAATTGGATTTAAAAAACTGAGTGAACATGTTAGAAATTGTTTGATTATCACTAGAGACGGTATTTTGATACTTCATGGCGGAAGGAAACCCACGTACATTTCGCTTGGAGTTTACGAAGTCATAAAATGATTTGGGATTATATATTATACGTCGTTTGATTTTACACAAGTAATCTTTATAACACTTTTTGTTTAATTCAAAGAACTTGTGACGCAAAAGTGAGTATTTTACATAGCATGAGTATAAACCGGTTTTTTTGTGTAATCTAAAATAATGCGACTTTCTGTTTTTCAAATTTCTCAGTTCTTAAGTGAACCATAACTGTGTTTGTTCGTCAGGAACATACATCCGTTTAGGCACATGCTTTTCAAATAATTTATGTAAAGTAAAATTAAAAAGTGCAACGCTTTGTTCAATATTTTCTTTATATTCAGGCCACGACAATTTAGACAGTTCTTTGTTAAGCTTTTTAAAGTTGGCTTTCGAAAAAACAAAGCGAATATTTGGTTTGTATGCTTGGGTACTGCAATTTTGCCCATCACTTATAACTTCGTAAGATACCTCCATAGCAGGGTGGTAGACATCTTCAGGCAAAACTAGTGGATCAAGCTTATTTGGAACGGACTTAGATGCATCTTCAACATAAACAAGATATAGCATAGAGCTAAGTAAATATATCCTTTTCCAGCCTGTACACGAATGCATTTGAATTCTACTGAATCAATGTGTGGAAGGCTAACTACTTCAGATGGTATTGAAGAGTTTACAGCGAAGAGTACGCCACCGCCGATTCTGCCCTCCCTATCTTGTCTATACATATGATAACATTGTGAGACAAATGGTAGGGGTCAGTGATCGGGAAGGGTTCAAACTGCCGGGGAAAGTTATATCGGTAAAAAAGAAGTTATACGTGTCCCGGCGTTTCGCTTGGTCACGTCTAGGAATCGAGATATATATATATAACTATCATATAGGGGAAATTGTCGCCTTTGGTGGTCTTTTTTTGACATAACTCGAGAACTACTGGTCCGATTTTGCTCAAACAAATTTAAAAAAATTAAAAGTTACAATTCCTTTGATCTGTTCATATAACGTTTTTCTATACAATCAACAGTTTTAAAAAAATTTAATATTTTAGGCAAAAAATATTTTTTTTTCTTCATACATTTATTTTTACCGGCAAAACTGTTGAATATATAGAAAAACGTTATATGAACAGATTAAAGGAATTGTAATTTTTATTTTTTTTAAATTTGTTTGAGAAAAATCGGAAGTGGTTCTCGAGCTATGTCAAAAAAAGACCACCAAAGGTGACAATTTCTCCTATATGATAGTTATATATAAATCTCGATTCCTTGACGTGACCCAGCGAAACGCCGGGACATGTATAACTTGTTTTTGACCGATATAACATTTCCCGTTGGTTTCACCCCATCCCGATTTTGACTGTCGCATAGTGTAATTATTTGGAAGAATCTCTGAATTGAAAATGTGAGGTTTCAGCCAAGTTTCAGTCAAAGAAAGAATATTATAATTACATTCAAGGCGTTTAAGGTATAAGTTCGTTAATTTAGTATTTAAGCCTCTTTCATTTTGGTAATAAATACTTAAAGCAGATTTAATAATTGGTTTTTTGATTCAGTGTTATTACAAGGAAGATTAGCTAAGTTATTTCCTTTTTTGGGCCTATATTCGAATTCACGAACGAAAGCTCCGGGGGGTCAAAAAGAACTACTAAGCAGCGCAATAAAATTATCTAAATTTACGTCAATTTTAAATGAAGCAATATTTCTTTCGTATTTAAAATTAAATTTTCTGATGCTTAAGTCGACAGTTGTAATTTTTGATGAGATATAAAGCTTTATATCGTCTTCGGTAGTGTCTCTCGAAAATCTGGAGACAAATATTGACTTCTTTGGCGGAACCACAACTAGTTTCCTTGTATCAGACTGGAGTACCGGCGGAAGGGGTTGATTTACTGCGTTAGTAGTTGAGTATAGAGAAGGCGGTGGAGGCTTCGAAGATGTTGCCACCACTTCAATGGGGGAAGGGGAAGATACTTCAGGCTCGTTATTATCCGAAGCAGATTTCGTTACACGCTCTTTTGAGGCTGAGGATTCTGATGCTGGAGGACATGGAGAAGTTATATTAATTAAGTCAGTCGGAAGATTATTCTGACGTGCAACGGCAATAATTTCCTTAGATGGACTATGAAGACGCTTACCGACGATTCTCTTCCTATTTCTGTAAAACCATTTCTGGTTTGCCTCAATAGCTTGAAAAGATCAACTTCGGTTGACCTACATTTTACGCAAAACCAGCGAAGGCCCTTGCCATCATTAATAGCGTCCAGAATTCTTCCCTTCAAACCAGCACATTTCAGATGGTAAATACCATCACACAGCCAGCACGATAAGTAGCGTTCAGAATCGCTTTTAATTTGGCAAGTATCAAGATCGCACTTCACATTGAATGATTTATGTAATAAAACTCGTTAATAAAAAGACAAACAAAATAAATTATAACAATTAAGGAGCTGATGTAAATAGCTTTAAATAAATGTAGCGAACCGTTTGAGTATCACTGTAATTATGACACTTAATAAACGCAACGCAATCAGCTGTGACAAGAATTACTAGAAGAAGTAAACAAAAATAGTAGAACAAATGTGCAAAAACAAAATGAATTCAGTTAACTACAAAGGATACAACAACAATGATAGCAACAAGTGACTCGGTAATATTATAATGTATGCTAGTGAAATTTAATTAAATTTAGTTTAATACAAAACACAATAACTTTCACTTAGCTTCAATTGTTTCACACTAAGATGCTCATGAGCACTTTTTATCACTACTTTAACTCAGAATTAGCACAATAAACTTAGCAAATAGAAAGCCAAAATCAGAACACGATAAAGTACAACCTCAAGGCTTGACGTTTGCGTTTTTACGTTTTTGTACCCGATACTTTATATTGCGATCCAAGCAGGTTTCGAAAAAAAGCATCTTCTTTGAAAAGCAACCCATTAGAGGAATTGGAAGATATGCGCAATACATTTCCGCAGCTATATAAGCAAGCCCGTCTATACAGTGTTGCCGTTGTGTGACTAACGGGGCAATTTGACCCTCTTTGAGCGCCAATACCCTTTGACCCGACTTTTTTGAAATTTTGATTTTTTTACCCTTTTCCAAAATTATGTGAAATGTTAACTGAGCCATGCTATCAAAAAAGATTTCCTCCTGTAAGTATGAAAAAATGCATCACTTAAAACTTTTAAGGGAAATGTAACTCTTCTCCATTTATGTGTATGTTTGAACTTTGTTTTGTGAAAAGCTTGTCACACTATTTTTTTTTTCAATTCAACAAATTTATTCTTTTACGAGTAAAGAAAAGCAAAAATAATATGGTGACCCTTTTTTTCTTCAATGAACCCCTTTTTCGACTTTCTGAAAATTCTCAACGGCAACGCTGCGTCTATACATAACGGTTGTTGGGTCATCTGTCCCTTGCGAGAGGCGTTTCTCAAAAACAGATACAACGATATTAAAATCTCGAAACCGCCTTTCAGGAAAACACGTGGAAAAGTTGATGTTTTTGGGAAATATAACAAAAAAGTAGTTATTTTTTAAACTCATTTTATATGAAAAAAAAACTTTATCTATTAGTCTTGTAGAAATGTATTCTATTGTTTTTGAAATCAAATACTATAAAAAAATAATTGTTGTCTTAAATTTTTGTCTGAAAAATTATTAAAAGATAAATAATCTTGTAAAAATGCATATTTTTTGTGAAAAAAATACAATTACTTTGGAAAATATTGAAAATCGTAGTCTATGTGCAAGTACTCGATACCTTTCCGATATTGAGTAGGTATCGATACCTTGTTTGATACAAGTACAAGTACTGATTTGAATAATACCTTGATGGTATCGATTTAGCCCTACACACAATAAAGGGAAGGGACCTACAGTTTTACGCCAACTCCGAACGGCGATTGTATTTTTATGTTTTTATGTCTGATAATATTGATAGAGATTTAACTTATGCTTTTTAAGGTTTGCCAGCTCGAAATCATAGGAATTTAAAATTTAACTAAAACCTACATGATCTCGGTTGCATAAAATATTGAGAGCTTAAAGTGGTTCTTCAGAGCTTACTAATTAAGCAGTACGTACCTTGAATAGAATACTTATGCCAAGGTTCATAAATGGTTTGGTAAAATCTATAACACTTTCACGGGCGTAAGTGATTGTCATTGATCCGACAGCCAAATCGGCTTTCTATAATAAAAGAGCCAATTTACTTATAACCAGGGACCGAAAATAATAATTATATTCAAAATTTCAATTCAAAAATTGAGTTGGAAAGAATTAGTATTTTTAACATTTGTATGCTTGTTAGCTAAGGAATGTTAATCCTATATAACTTATTTTTTTTTTTTTACTTTTTTCAAAAAAGTCAGCAATTAACCTTCATTTTATGACTGATATTTTTTTATCAAAAGTAAAAGTTAAAACATGACTTTTGTTTTTTTTACGGTCAAATATAAAAGTTTAAATTTTTTCGGTTAAAAATAAAAGTTAAAAATTGACTTTTATTTTTTCGGTCAATTATAAAAGTTAAATCTGACTGAGTCCGACCGGTTCCAATTGTTTTTCAGGTACCGATCCCGATTCTATAAAAAATTACAAATAAATGTATTAATTCATAAAGTCAGTTAATTTAACGGAGTTAACAAAACAAGATAAAACAAATAATTGAAATAATTGGCTACATAGTATGTATGTATGTGTAAAAATATATGCACATATATCACATATACATATGTACATTACATAAAACAGTTTTTTATATGGTGCTAAGCAAGAAATATTTAGGATCATAAAATTTCATTTCGTTTTGTACTAACCCTCCAGTACTGCCGTGAAACCTTTTTAAAATTAAATGAAACCTTTTTCAGCTTAAGCGA